CCCCCCCCTGGGATTTGAGGTGCAAAAAAAATCGCAAAGGTAAAAAAAAAATAATTGCAAAGTTGGTATCAATTCTGTGAGAAAATGCACTCATGGCCACTGGACAATCATTCAACAATCTGTTTACAAAGGTGTACTGTTTTTAGCCAACTCAGTTCATGCCAAAAAGCTCACCCTCCCTTAGGGAGCTATCCCCCAGGCTGAACTTATGGCAAAATGAACCCACAATTTCTGACTTCTGATTGAGCAATAAATAACAGTTTAAATGCACCAGAATGCAGTATTATAAATACAGTTTTTAAAAATTTTCTACACCGTGGGAGGGGGACACACCCTCCCACACCCTCCCCCCTCGGGGGCTTCGCCCCCTCGTGTCCGCTTACTGCCCCCCCTGGCATTTTGCTCAGGCTACGGCCCTGGTGTGAATACCTAGGTGACGATATATCATTTTTACGAAACCAGTTCTAGAACGTTAAGAGACAGGTTAAGGTTAAACAGAGAGGACAGGGTGTCAACATTTTCAGTAATAGCAAAGGTGCACTTTATGAGCGGTTAGTCGTAAGTTCTGTGGCTGTCTGGGCGATACGCGATAATGAAATTTCTATGATCCAACCGGTAACCTTATGTTTAAAACCATATGTTGCGTTAGTTATTTTCCAATAAATAAATAAATTAATTAATTAATTAATTAATTAAAATTAAAATTAAAATAATAAATAAAAATGAATTAAATAAAAACATAACAAATGGAAACAAACTGCAGTAAAATTCTACTTACGAGAAGCGGATAACGACCGAGACTTAATTGTCGGGTTTACAAAATGTTCGCGATCACATGGTTGGTGAAAGTGTCACACTCCGATGCGAAGGTTCTATATCAAGTATGCATATAACCAGGAAGAAATCGTTAACGGTTAAAATGACAAGAAGTGTTAAGAAGCACAACACGTGTTCACATGAATTCCGATAACCATATCAACTTCTTTTTTTCTTTTAAGAGTAATGAATGGCAGTGCAGTTACACAAGTAAAATACTGCAGTAATACTGTCTTCATAAATATCCATTACCTGTTTGTGTGTGTTCTACATCTACCCCACTTGTTATTTTATTCGTAACTACTAACTACTTAGTAACTAGCAAGTTAAATCTTCCTTTTATACAATCAAGACCGATAGTGAACTTAACACTGTGCCACGACAAATGTGATAGCCCAACGCACAAAATGCACTCTTAAATCCTTTCTTAAAAACAAAAACTTTAAGAAAAGTATTTCGCGACGCTTGATCATTTCAAAAATAGGGGTGCCTTCCCTAGCTCTTTTATCAAAACAATTTTCTTTCTAAAATTAATCACAACTAACAATGCAGAAAAATTCAAATCAGAATTGGAAATTATAACGCAGCAGGGTTTTGAAAGCATTTTCACTATCGACAGTACATCCACACTATTTTCTATTTAGTAACTCGCCTCAGTAACTCTGATCCTTTAAGTTCTGATTCTCCCCTTCTTTTAAATACGCGACAGGTGTTTCAAAAAGCTAGCGATACCCGAGCTGCCCACCCGGAAATTGTCCGCTCTGTCGGCGTCTGGAAAATGCGCCGGGGAGGTCGCTTGCCCCAGGACAGAAATCTGTGCCATGACAGAAATTCTGCGCATCCAACAGGAACTGTAGTTCTCCAACCAGCTAACCAAAGACGGACTCGGACACAATACCCGCACTTTGAACCTGCTTCCGGTAGACTTAATTTACACACCGACAAGCCTACAACACTTCCTTAGAATGATTAAGGTAATTGTACAAGAAGAGCATATATCATAATTAATTTTATTTTCGTGTAAAGGCATTTGCCCAGATTACAAATGTAAATGGTTCATATAACGTAACTATTGCGCATGCGGAGAGCTCATGTACGTGCACTATCCGTTGCAAAAAAGATTCTCTTTTTCTAAAGGCATAATAAACATAATTAATCAGGTAAATCATCAAATCTCTGTCATTGGAAGACATGTCTAAACCTTTGGATATTTGGTTGACAGGTGTACCTGTTTGGTATATATTTTGTTCTTAAGTCCCTGTACATCTCACATGTTAACAAAAAGTGATATTCGTTTTCTATTTCATCCTTACATAGTGTGCATACCGTTGTCATGTCTACCTTTTTCAATCATAAGATTATGGTCCACACCTGAGCCTGGCGAAAGCAGCTAAGTGCGCTTTCAGGAGATTCAACAATAAATAATTTTCTTTTTGAAATACAGATTTAAATGTACAATACAAATTTAATTTAGACGAGTTCTGTAACTGGCCGTTCCATTCTTGAATGTAGCAATCTTTCATTCTTGTCTAATTTCTAAAAAATATATCTCATTCTAAACACCCTGATTGTACCATACAAACCCAAAACCATATCTAAAAAGTATTTCTTTAATTTTAGTCGCCCATGTAATGCGACCAGCCTGATCTAATACCAACATAATCTTGTAGCACGCTTTTGGATATCTGCTTTCTTCCATTCTCAGTAATTTAAGCCAGAATTTGACACACCGACTGAAGTAAGTTATAAACAATGGGAACCTACCACAGTCTCCCAAGACCGCTATTGTTGAAGTTGTTGATCCCACTCCAAGAATCCTTTTACAGAAAGCAAGTTGTACCTTTTCTATATTGTCATACACTTGGCTCCCCAAACTTCTGCACCGTAAAATAAAATTGGCGCGATCATTTTATCAAATATCATAAATGCAATATCAGACCTAACCCTCCCAGTGTTATATTCAAGTTTATCAATCATAATCATTGCCTTTCTTGCTTTCAGACTTAAACTAGTGGTGGCTTTTGTCCAAACGAGCCTTGGCGTTATAGTTAGACCCAGATATTTGTAGTGGGTTACAACTTCAACCGGTTGTCCACCAAAGTACCACATTTCATATTACAAGAAGAGCATATATACAGAAATTAAACAAATAATTAATTCTCCCCAGCAACCGTAAAATATACTTCGAGTTCTGATTGAATATGAGTACCGCACATGACAAACCCCAAAAATAATATCAGTAAACAATGTGAACATTTTCATATTTCACAATACTTCAATTAAACTTTTATCTTGGAATCTCAGTTATCAAAATAATAAATGTATCCTCATCTTTATAAAACTAACAAACCAAATATTGATGTCATCTTTTACTTCAAAGGGACATTCACTGAGGCACTGTTCTGGATATATGCGACAGGAAATGTGCGAAAGCTGTCAAATTTATAAACCCCGTTGCTCTGTCATATATCTTCTCTCGCAAAAATAACAGGTTCGCATTTTTCAGTCATTATTTACGAACATGTAAAAATTCCATTTACAAACATGTTGTCGATGTCCATTGTTCGTTTGGTATCATCAGTCATAATTCGAAGATTCTGATCTCGCCACTCAGTTCCCCAACTACCAGTTGTCCCAGACGATTTATTACGATATCGTTGGGAAAGCAAAGTCCATCTTCTTCTCTTAAAAGAAATTGCTTGAATTTCCCATCTGGTGACACCAGGTGTAGACGATTGTTGCAGAGGTCTGTTAGAATTATGTCTCCGTTATCCAAGCAGCATGTGCCACACGGGGTGTTCACCTGTCCGTCTCCATCACCCTGGGTACCATATCTGTAATTTACCTGGAGATTGGAATTGTATACACGGATGCCATCATCTCCTGTGATAATCACGTCGTCATTCACGTTACAGTGGATGTATTTCAAATATTCCTCCTCTGGGTCTGGTGTTGTCTGCAAGACCTTGCCATCTTTGTGGTGCACAGTCAGAGTATTAAGACCGGCTACAACATAATGACCCTTGCTGTTGATCGCTACTGCTTCTGGTAACTCACTGTGGAATGTTCTGACGTGGTCCCCTGTCTTGGTGAAGACAATGATTTCATTTGACTCCCGACAATAAGTTACAATGTTACCGTCATCATCAATGACAATCCCACCAAGCACATCCTTTTCTGTTGCTCTTGGATTAGAAATTGTTCCCTGTAGGACAAAGTTGTTATCGTAGATGTGGATTCTATTCCGTGCCTTCTCCTCATCACACCAAATACCAATAAGGATGTCACCATTTTTATCAGTGGTCACATGACTGATCATCTCCTCAGGACAGTCGGCCAAGTCTACTTTGAATGATGTCACCAATCTTCCGCTCGTAGCTTGAACCAAGCGTCCAAGGCAACTGTTGATATTGGCAACGCACTCCTCCATGTCGTTGGTGAGAAGCTGTAGCTGGGTCATGGCTGCGGGCAGGGTCGGGATGTCGATAGTCTGAACGCTATCGATGCTTTGCTCACAGGCAGAGGCCATTTGCAGGACATCCATAGCGATCCCATGGTTAATGAGCTTTCTCGAGAAGGCTACAACGTCGTCCAGTCGGTTTTGGTTGGCGGTTGCAGTTGAAATAAAATTATTTAAAATATCTAATTTGGCATTCGACTTGGCGTCTATTTCTTCCAGAATATTATTGGCAAGTTGACGGGCCGTCGTAATAACTAGCTCTAACTGCTTCTCAACTTGAGTCTTTGCCTTTTTTCTTCCTTCTTCTACTGACGCTTTCTGGTCTTCAGCAGCGGTCTTGAACTGATCGTAGAGTAGACCTTTCTTCTGTGTAGATTTTACGCGAAATTCTAGTTTTTCCTTGCGTTTGTCAGCAGCAATGTTTATTCTTAGGCAATCGTGACCCTGATGTTCTAAAACCATGCAGCCGACGCAGACGAACTTTTTACAAACTGGACAGTAGATTTCTACGGGGTCCTTGTTGTTGTGGTCACAAAGGGTATTTTGTCGGGCACGCATCTCTTTCACGTATTCGTCACTGTCAAACTGGTCGACAGGAAACAATTTGTGGTCACGACAGACCTTATGAAGCACATGTTGTGAAGAACAATCTCCACACATACTTTCCTCGCAGTCCAAACAGCGTTTTGTTGCGTGGGTGGATTGCGGACATTTTTCAAACAACATATCACGCATTTCTTGGTACCCTTGGCTTGCTCTACTTGACCAAGTGTGTGTGATATGCTGACCAGAAGGTGATTTGTTTGTAAACCACTAACACCGCCCCCAGGGAGGTCACATTGACGCCTACAGATAGGACAAGGGAAGCCAGGCTGATCTTTAAAGTTTCTGTCCAAATGGTCTTGGAGGCAATGCTGGCAAAACGTATGTGTACAGCCGAGGACCTTGGGGTCTTTGAACTTTCCAAGGCACATAAGGCACGTTAGGAAATTTTCCGTTAGGATCTTGGACAGAGACATGTCTTATAGCTCCAACACCTTAATGTAAAGAAATGAAACACATCGAATAATTGATGAAGTTTTGGTATTAGATGTCAATTTATACCATTAAGTTACATCTAAATACATGCAGTGTAAGATATACGACTAATATAACATGCAATGTTTTAATAAAATAAGAAGTTTTTACATATGAAAGAAAAGGAGGATCCCGTAATGGGTGATTGTGACAATAAAAATCAGCTAAGAAAGGAATATCTTGGTGGTGTTGAATAACAACAAGGTACTTCAGGTATTTCATTTTATGGAATTAAGAGAGGGATAGAGAGGTTTGTCACATTACTTTTTAATTACCCAGATGATAATGAGTGCAGTAATATTTATACACAAGAAAAAGATTAATATTACGTCCGGTCGATGGCAGGACACGCGAAACAGAATATAGCACAAACACAAGGCGAAACTAAAAAAAATAAAAAAGGAAAGGAAGGCTGAAATGAAATTGAAAGTAAAAAAAATAGACATGTGATTGAATATTATTTAAAATGTATAAAGTGAATTTTTAAACAAATGAAAAACGAGAATCTATTTATTAATAGATCAGCCGTTGTCTCCTCGTCACGTTTGTCTCCTTAACTACAACAATCTGTTGACAACTGACATCAGTGAAAAGATAGTGGCCGTAGTTTGAATTTGATAATAACTGATAAAAGTAAATTTGAAGGCATTTTAGACATCGGCAGTTTTCGTAAAGCTTCGGCAAGGGTGACAGGTATCGGATATTGTCAGTCACAACACATTTTATCGTAAAGTTTGCTTGCCGAGTGGTAACGTCTGTGGGTATAAAGCACAGCGGAGTGGGTGCGAATCCCACTCCTCATCGAATTTGTTTGAATATTATTATTATTATTGTTATTATTATCAAATACTACTCTTATCATGGTTCAATGATTAATATGACGGTTGGTAAAATTTCTGAAAAGCTAGAGGTTACCGAATTATGACGAGTGCATTCTGCAATCCAAACACCAACCAAGGTAATTCTCAGATACATTAAATTCCCAATATAGTATATTGCAACATATTAGGAGTGAGTTTTACCTGTACTTTCTCCAGTTATATTTCTCTTGGTGGCAGGTACACGCCCCCAGTCGCCATTTAGGTGTTTTGTCTCTCTTGACACGTACACCTGGTCAGGCGAGACGTTCAACGTCCAAGGAGATTTTAAAGTCACCTTAATCAGCAATATGGCCTTATCTCTATGTACACAACAGACATGGTGACACAATTTATCGCCGTTATCTCACTGAATTCAATGGTGTGCACTGATACGACTGACCTGGTAGAAGGAGTGTATAAAATATATTGAAGATAGATATTTAACAGCGACCCGCACTGAATCCACGGCTAAATGGCTACTGGCGGCCATCTTGGATTTGGCCTGTTTCCGGTACAAACGGACACTTTTTCAAGCCGGAAACAAGCAGAAATGAAAAATTCAGGTTCTAAACTACAAGAATCAATCATAAAACCTTTGCCTGACGGGGGTGCAGCCAAATCCTTAAATAAGGCCTTTTTTCAATTTGGCTCATGGACTAAAAGTTGTATTGTGGATTTAGAAAGCACATTTTGATATTTGAATTGTTTGAGTTATTTGTACTGTGAGATTGAACAATCATGCAATTCATTTAACGGTAGTAGTATTGAGGATTTAGACCGACAAACCTTCAAATGGATGCATTAATGGGTACATACATGTGTTACATATGTATATGTTCTAGGTTTGGTTTACAATCGAAAGCTATAGTACAGAAACTAGGGATGTCGCAAAAAATGCAATCACGTCTCAACAACCGCAATCAATGTAGTGTCTCCCCCCACCCTATTACACCTTAGTCTACAGCTACCGTAGGTGATTTTGGTGTGCACAGTGACCTGTTCCTGACTGAGAAGAAACGGTGCACATACAAAAACAAAATGTCACGTAGCCCAGAGTGTGGAAACCCAGACGACGATATATAATATTCAGTCCTAGAACGCTAAGAGACAGGTTAGGGTTAAACAGAAGGGGCAGCATTTTCAGTAATAGCTAAGGTGCAATTAATTTGCGGGAGTCATTAGTACTGTGGCTGTCTGGGTGATATAAGATTATGAACTTTCCCTGCAGCGGCACAGTAATTAAAATCTCGTCCCAATGCGACCGGCCGAGGGACGACGCGTGTGGAGGCGTGTGAGAGGCGAAGAGACCATTACAGGATTACGCAGTCTTCCTTTTATGTAGGTCCGACATATTTAGGCCGTGGACCAGCTAGCACTCGGCTCCTCTCATTCTGAATGGTCCCTTAGTAGATTGATTTCCTCTTTTACTGAAGTGTAGCTTTAAATTAATAACACTATTACACTAAGGGGCAGGCAGTATTATCGTAAAGCTATATTGTTTGCTTGTGAATCAACTGTTGTAGTGGCCTATTTGTATTTAAACGCCGTATGGAATTCCTTTTGATTTCTCTAACACTCCCTATCCTTTATTCTCAAATGGTTTCCTTGGTTTACACAAGCACAGTAATACAGGCGGTCGTTAACAATCAGTTGGGAGGTTGAGAGAGACACAAAGGGAGAATGGATCATGGGCCATATAGTTTCAGACCTTTATTTATATGAATTATCTAAATTATTTATTTATCTATCTAAATTATCGTTTAGCAGCTTCAGTAGACGTGCCAGACATCTAAGCCTTTTAAGTCAAAAGCAATTTAGCGAGAAAACCCCTCGGAGATGGATCGATCCTGTTAGAACGATCTAGGTATGGGAACCCAGTCTAAGAATAATGGAATAGAAGAGCATGAAAACTTACTTTCACTAGTCCTTGAATTAGAGGCGACGGGTACGATCCCGAGTTATCCACATATTCATGGCCAGAAATGCGCAGCATTCACGCGATACGCGAGGGCGCTACAGTAGGGCTTCAAGTGACTCAACTAGCCAATCACAGCACAACAATGGCATCGCACACAGACTCTGTGATAAGTGCTCAGCCCATTGTCAAGTAGTGTTAGTTCATGGTAACAAGCGTCTGACATGTGTAGAGAATTATATTGTAATATATATTATTCTTATTGTTACATTATTAAATTTAACTCTGTATCCAAGTAGTAACTATACTGTACCAAGTCAGGTACTGATGATGTGCAGAGGTCATATATTCCAGAATAAGCCATTACCACTAATTTATAACTTTAATTTTGTTTAATGTTATTCATGAAAGAGTTCGTGAAAGATTATTTGAATTTGTTAAATCGTGATCTTATTCTTTTTATATTCAAATAATTGAATAATGTGGGTCTTCCACTTCTTATTTGCATTTTTCCTTTACTACAAGATTATTTTGGAACAGTTGCAGCATTAAAATTGAAAATAAATAGCAATCTGAAAGAAAAAAAATTGCATTATTATTAAATGATGATAGGAATTTTGGATTAAGAGATTAGTTAAATGCTGAGTAGTGATTTATGTAGAATCTGATAATATGATTGAAAATACTGATTAAATTCTTGGCCTTGCACTGGGCAGTTTCACATTTGTGCCAAGTGTTTTCTGGACTCCATTGTACAGTGGTAAAAGTTCTTCAGTTGCCATGAAAATTTTTAATCAGACTCTGTATGGTGCTGCTATCTGCTGGTGCTATCGGCAACGACTTAGTTTGCCTTTGTTTCTGAGTGAATCTACCGTCTAAAATCACTATTTCTGAAAATGTGTGCGTTTTGCTGAGGTTAGGCTAGGCAATACACGGCAAACTTCTTAGTACGTGTGTACAACAGAATTCTTTAAAAAACCCTAGCGATATTTGGTCAGGTATTGCTTGAAGCATAGCACAGCGTTGCTGTCTATCGGCATCAGGCCGTAAGTTTGTCAATTTAATATCACGAATTACCCACGGATCGCGAACCCATTCATTTTCCTATGGCAATCTAGCAACTCATTAAAAGTGCACGCATACGTAGTGGGCTAAGCGTGACGTCATGCAGTGCATTTCTGGGAATGAGTAATATCATAAAAAGAAATGTCTCCATTTTGTCTGTTGGAGGGCAGATCTTTTGTTGAACTTAAATGTAAGCCTGTTTGACAGCTTTAAACAACGAGTCGAACGTCTTCTTCCGGTCGTCTGTAGTTCACGAGTCGTGATGATATCAGATAATTTCCGAGAAACATTTGATACAAAGTTCGATAAAATGCCGACAAAACATTCTGTTAACATATAAACAAACCTAGTAAAGGAAGACCACCATTGTTTTGATAACGTTCTAGTTCTAGGAAATGTATGAAATTTAACGCTGATAATTCTGTGTAGACAGGTAAACAAAACGCGTAAGGTAAATACCGGTACGTCGTGCGAAAAAATTCCACCACGAATTACACTGTATACTTCTGTCTACTGCTAGTAGTGGGGGCGTACACTGCACGGCATTAGAGGAAATAAATAAAATGTAGGGGTCATCGATAGAAAATCGCCTGACTTCGTCTCGTCATGCTTGTTAGACTTTTATCCAAGTGGGGACGGGGCGAAGAGGGTGATTACAGGTACATTTTTGCCATGAGCTATGTTCAAATATAGACATTCTTGTCTACGACAAGGCATCCATTCTATTCTATTCTATTCTATTCTATTCTATTCTATTCTATTCTATTCCATTCTATTCTATTCTATTCTATTCCATTCTATTCTATTCTATTCAGATGTGATAAGTCTCAATCCGAGAGAGCATAAATCATTCGCCTTTTGTAAACGAGACAGAGAAAGACAGAAAGAGAGGTGTCTCTTTTCTCTTTTAGCGAATTCCCCATTCTCAATTAAGTTTCAACTCTTAATTCATCTCATCAAGACAAAACGTTTTTTTTTTATCACGCGACCAGAAAAAATCTCTTTTACTCAAGAATCTCGGACCAAATGGCAGCCGGGGGCAGGGAGGGAGGGCCGGGGGCATTCTGCAAACCGAAAAAAATACAGCAGTTCAAAAGAATCACCATGAAATTCTTTTTAAAACACGCTTTCGTAAATGAAGACAGTAAATGGAATTGCTATTAGGCTACTTTATTTCATTAAATAAACGCAAGAACCTTCAAAGCTTTATAGATAATGCTACTTAGCACAAATTTTATCGGCTCATTAGGCCCATGCAATGACAAAATGACAACAGCAAATAACAATCACCACAGTGTTATAGCTGACCACATTACAGCTAGCACAATTAAACAGCACATGAAGTTAGCGGGGGCGTTCCCATAAATCCATCTTTCTAGCTGAATCGATCTAGCTCTGCATTCAGTGTAAGCTGCTTTAATGTCTGGCACGCCTACTCAAGCTGCTAGGGGATACTTAACGATAGTCAATTACCACCTAGTTACTCAAAGTCTAAGACTGCGTTCCCATTATTTTATCGTACTGGCTGGATTTATTTTGTAGAGTGTTACAGTGGTTACTCATCTGCCTTTAAAACATACAGCGCAATCGATTTTAAGGATAAGAGTACGTTACAAATTTGTGTTGTCTACAGTCTACATACTTGCAGTTTATCGTCAGTAAAGGACAGCAACGCGTTTTCTTCACTATAAATTGAGACACTGCTCGAGGAGATTTATCATTCTGTGGGTTAAGGGTATTGTCACCCTTCGCCCACAACTTCTTATTTACTGACTTACATATTTTCTTTTGGCTGAAAGATAAATCTTCAGTGTTCAGTGACAAAATTAACTAACATTTACACATATGTCAACTAATGGGTGACCTCATAATTGCCATATTTGGGTAAAAGCTGAAAAAATCGGTTTCTCAAAATTCTCTTTTACCTGAGCTCCCACGATCACCATTTTAACGCCAATTTAATGACACGATTTAGTACTTCAAAACCCTGCCAGCGATTTTTCTTAGAAGTCTTTGTTCAGATTTTATCGTTGATAAAACAAAATAAAGCCTGTGTTTTTTATTTGTTATTTGTTGTTGTTTTTTATTGTTTTAAATCAGTCCAAAAATAGATGCATAATTGAATTATTAGATGCAGGAAAAACTTTATATTCAATATCTGGAAGATAATAAAGGGTTACATTATCCTTAATTAAGTAGGATATAGTTTCTGATCAGTTTACCACATTATAATCTCTCCCCGTTTTTGATAGGGAGTTCAGCATGGTTTTTGTTTCCTACAGTCGAGTATTGAGGTTTTCCATCAATCTTTCTTGAGGCAGTGTTTGCACCTTCCTTCTTGTAGCTGGGGTTTGGAGTGTCTGCCCTTTGCAATAGCCAACTCATGGCTACGACTGCGTTCCCATAAACCCATCGTACCAGCTGGATGGTTCTAACTCTGCATAGATTCTCGCTGAAGTGCATTCCGTTTTATCAACACGCTTTGTCATTTGTTTAGATAAAGCGATAT